CACTTTTCTCCCAAGGTAACTAACACCACCACAGCAATATCCTATCTCTTTGTTTTTATGCATAGCATTGGCAGAGAGGGAAAATGCAGAATGCCTGAATTGCAATAAACAGGTTTAAATAGACCTTTATGTTTTTTTTATTTATTTTTTATTTACAATATATGCACATGGCCACAAAAGTTATTTTTAGTTTATTTAATGCATTTTGAGACATTTTTAAATAATATGCGCACTGATTTGAGTGAAAGTGTGATGGAGGAATCAATGAATCATGCGCACTCTGTCAGTTGCAGTTCCATGATTGGACGCATGGTGTCAGTGCGCCGCAGGTTTTAATTATAATACGGCCTTCGATCAGCTGTTTGGCGCTTCACGCGCTAGTATTTGTGAACCGACCGCGGCGGCAACATTTGAACAGATTCAGGTGTGTTTGTTTTTCCCAACCTTGGCGTCTCGATATCTGGTTGTCCCCTTTAAATGTTCTCTAAATATAACTGGCACACCACATGAAACTAAAGGCGGCCGTTATTTTCATCTTGAAAGTGGCAAAAACGTTTTGTGTGAGTCTGTCAGTTTGTGTGAAGTTTATGTTTGATTCGCCGTCAGTCGGATTTTGACAGGTTGGTTTGCTTTTTTGCTTGTCTGTTTTTGGTTGTATATATGAAATGAGACTTTAAGAATATTTTGAGATAAAGGTGTAAGGTTTTCGCTTCTATCGTTACTTTTTTACGTCATCCATATAAGCAAATAATGCAGTGACCGTTTAAACATGTAACGTTAATGGGCCTTTATATTGTAACATGTTTTCTGTCTTTTTATTTACAAGCACTATGTGTTTGTTTAAAACATATTTACTGTATCTAAACTATATAATAATTACACACGTGATATAATTCGTTTTTTACATTTTCTTCAGTCATGGAGTGGGTCACCTTATGGGGGTTGGACGTTTTGAGATCATATGACCTGCTAAATACTATTCACTCTGTCTAAGGGCCTCATGTATAGTTGCATAGAAACCATCTTAAATTTGATCTTACAATCATCTCTCAAATATGATGTTCATAGAATGCGTGTGATTCATAGAATGAACGAATGCACAGAAAATGCATGTACGGCTCTCTTTCAGATGAAAATCTATGAATCGCAAATGATCTTGAACGTATGCGAAACTGGATGGTTTCAGCTCTCTGCCTTGTAAACGACTCCTAATTAATGTCATTAACATATAAAAGATCACCAGTCATTGTACAAATCCTTTAATTTAGAAAATTTTAAAAAACCTGCAGTACTCCGACAAGAAAATGTACGTACGTCTGCTCAGAACCTGACATGACACTAAGCACTTTTCCACTCAAAGACAGTTTTTACAAATATGAGCATCGAAGTGGATTTAAGCGTACGCACACTCTTTAAGATCAAATCTGTGCGTACACATACTTTACAAATGAGACCCTTAGAATTTAAACAAATTAACTTGTGTCTCTTCTGTAGTTCGAGGCTTTCTCTTTTTGCTCGCTCCAACATGGATGTCGGAGTGACCCCGAGACGGCACAACCCCGTGGACAGCATCTGCCGCAAGCTGCAGACTATCCAGCGACGAGATCAAGAGGTTAACTCGCCCTTTCAGATCCCTAAGTTCCAGTCCAGCAGCTACGACAGCCCTCATTCGGGTCTGCGCCTCAACCTGGAGGCCATCCTGAAGAAGCGTACCGTCCGAACTGACGAAGACTCTGACCGCGATTCCTCAGCGAGCATGCTGACCCCCACAGCTTCCCCGGGACCGGGGTCTGCCGCCAACACCCCTCGTGCTCCCATTACACCTGGCAATGCCACCTATACCATTACCAGCACGCTGAGCACGTTAGGGGAGAGGAGAAATACAGCAACGTACAGCCGGCCGTTTCGGCGTAACTGCTCCACCCCAGCAGCCCAGACTGGGGACAATTACTTTAACTTTACCCCACGCTACACCACACAAACCCTGCTGGAGGGGCCCGACACAGAGGTGAAGACCTCGAAAATCCCAGCTCCTGGCTTGTTCTCGTATAACTTGAACTTCTCCTCAGATATTTCTAACATGGACACTGAACTCGCCTACCCGGCTCTCGTGGTCAAGAGACTTTCACTGGGCGAGGGTAATGAATCA